AATATTGTTGGAATTTACATCACATGGGCACATCTTAATACTAGAGTGAAAGCTGTGATTATAAGAGTATATTAAATTTTGTAAAACATCTATATATCTATAAGTATTATTATGAGTGAAATAACGCCACATTTTCATTTTTAGTGTTCTTTGAAATCGTTCAACAATACTGGCCTTAATGTCAGGATTGTTAGTGGTATAGTAATTAATCTTTTTGGATTTAAAGTATTTTTGTACATCTTTTGAAACAAATTCGGTACCTTTATCGGATTGTATGTGAGTAGGTGTTAAATTACTTTCAGTAAATATACTTTCAAAACATTCTTTAGTTGTTTCTGAGTTTTTCTTTTTCATTGGTCTTGCAAAAGCATATTTACTAAATACATCAATAATACAAAGTATATACTTGAAACCATCATTATATTGAGAATAAGTTCGCATATCACTTAAATCAGCTTGCCACAGTTCATTAATATTTGATAGAATGTACCTATTACGCGGGAATTTTTTTCGAATGGGTTTATGTAATGTGTATGTTTCTTGTGATTTTAACCATTCCTTTACTTGCTTTTTATTCATTTTACCCTTCATGGCTTTTGATAATTTATCAATACTACCAAAACCAGCGGGATTAGATGGATCATAATAAATCCTGTTAATTTCTTCTAGTACGGGGTCCATTTTTCCCACTCAAGTCCTTTACGTATTTTAGTTGTAGACTTTTTATCTCTACTGACCGGTGTAGAAAACTCTTGAACTTCAATCTCAGAGGGTTTGTTCAGATCTTTTGCTTGAAGTTGGTTAATAAACTCACATCTCCTTGGATTTCCAATATAAGTAAGTGGTACTTTAATATCTTTTAATGCTTCAGCAAATCTAACCCACCCTACCGGATCACTTCTTTTTAGGGGTCTTAGTGAATCATTTATTAAATCAACAATATTACTTCCAGGAATTTTTTCACTATCAATTATGACTGTACCTTCATTATCCCAATGTATTTTACTTTTACTTGTTTCAACTAAGTTTAATAATAACTGCCCTTTTTTATGATAAGTTTTTGGTATTAAACTGAGTATTTGAGCTGGTGTGTAAAGTGGATTTTCATCATTTTCTTTACTTTTAATGGATCGATTCTCCTCCAGCAAAGATTCAATATCAACTGAAGTTTTTAGATCTCTATCTTTATTTTTAAAACCAATTTTTGACTCATTTGAATCTTCATTAGATGTATCAGAATAAATTGGTAATTTGAGTGGTTGACGATCCTCTTCGGTAAAATGAAGGTATCTTTGCAGTGTTTGTAAATATAATATCCATTTCTTTCGGTCTTCCGTCTTACTATTCATAATATTTTGCATTTCAATATCTAATCGAGATAAATTACTATTAACCTTATTTTCTTGTTTTAATTTTTCAATCAATCCAGGTTCGATAAGTATCATTTTCTTTGCATTTTCCATGTTAACTGGCTAGTCCACTCACTAATCCACTCAATACTGCACCTAATATTGTTGGTAAGAAAGCCCCTCCTTTTTGTATAATTATATTTTTTCTTAGTTTATGTTTACACTTACGTACTAGTTTACGGAGTATGTTTTTATGTTTATTCAATTTTTGTTTATCCTGATCTTTAAGAGGTACTTTTCCTTGTAAAACGTTATGAATACACTCACAAATACAGTTAATTTCTTCTTCATCACACGTTTTAAGTAATGCTCTTTGATATTTTGGTTTAAGCGTATGCAAAGCGGTTAGCAAATGTTTATACGTTGTGAGTCGACGATGCATCATTTAGCAATGATTTCAATTGTTTGATTCTTGGTGTATTTAAACTCTTTTGTGGGGACGTAGACTGTACAGAAACCATTAAATGGAAAGACATTTGTCTTGATACGACAAAAATCATTGGTATTCTGTTTTAAATCTACCATTAAATATCCATGCGCCTCTAGAGTTGCATCCCTGTAGGCATTTTCAATGAATTTTGGGTTATCTGGTGATACTTGTCTTGCTAAATATCTTATTTGAGTTTTATCTCGAGGGTTTTTAAAATATATTATATAACTTGAGTTTAAAGATATGTCTCTTTGTCCTTTACCCTGATGAAATAAATTTTGTGTTAGATAAAATACACTAAGATTCCTGTGATGACTACCTTTTGTAAATATATCCACAATTCTTCCATCGGACTCTCTCATTAGATCATCAATAATAACAAGATGTGGGTTTTCACCATCAAATATATTAAGATTTGGAATTCCTTGATGATAGTTAACATTTGGTAAATTATATAATGGTTGCATTTCATCAAAGCACCATGTGATCTGATTAAAATCACAATTACATATTTCTGTAACTGATTTTATGAAATTTGTTACAAAATTTGACTTCCCACACCCACTTGGTCCTGCCACAATAGCAGTGAACGGTGAAACATAACACACGTCTAAAGTTCAAAGGGGTGAAATAAAAAATGAGTGTTGGTGTAAACAATTAATATATATTCCAAAAATTATATAAAACAGAATTATCTGTATACTATTTCTAACACAATTAGTACATCATAATTTTACAATTAACTCAACCTCAAATAAATAGAAACAACAATTAGTACATCATAATTTTACAATTAACTCAACCTCAAATAAATAGAAACAACAATTAACTTAAATTATTTACAATAAAACAATGATTAAATGTGTAATAAACTACGTCATATTATAGTATTATCATAATTTTACAATCAATATAAATTTTTCTTAAACGCAGACATAAAAGTAAAAACTATCAACACTTAACGCAGTTTATAATGACCCCAAGCTAATGTTTCAATATTATTATCTAAAATATGTCTCTTTGTGTCATTATATGATAAACCTATCTTATTTAATTTTTGTGTGAAAATTGTGTGTTTAATTGATTTAAATCTAAGCATACTATAATATTGCACTTTTTTATTAAATAGAGAAGACTTATAACTATTCATTGTCATCTTTTTAGTGATACATTTATTTACCCCTTTTGCCTTGGCTATAGTCTTATTCTCTAAGTTAAAAGCGTACATTTTGGATCGTAAACCCACAAATTCTTTCATGATTTTACCATTATTTTCATCTTTAAAAAAACCTAATTTCTTTTTATTTAATTTTGGATATTCAAAAATATTATTTGTATCATAATCTGAGGTATCAAAGTATGATGAAAGGTCAGGTTTTATATCAGTGTAAAAATCATTTGTAAATATATGATATATTAAACTATCCGTATCTGTATACAATAATTTGATTTTACTAAACTTTTTAATCATATAGTTATAATGAAAATCATACATTAATGTTTTTGAAATATCTAAAATGCAAAACCCTAAATAAATTGGTTTGTTATATATTAACTTCGTTTTTCGCAACTGAACCGCAACTAGGTTTTCCGAAAATATTGAAAGGCTATGAAATTGTGGTTTAGCGATTAGATCTTGAGCACCTAAAGCTTTACCCTGGTTCTCCCAGTGCGTAACTAATTTTATGTTAACCCTTTTTTCAATATTCTCCATAGTCTTACCGAAGACTGAATTATTCATTAATTTATAAAAATCTTTTTCGAAATCTGATTTTGCTAAAGTTTTTAATTTTGTGTTTAGATCTATGTACATCTTCAACCAGGGAGACTGTTTAAATTTTAAAACTCTATGAATTTTAGTTAATTTAACCCCCATTTCTATGCACTGCTTTAAATTTCTGTAATGAATTACATATTTATCTTTATTATTTAAATTTGGGACTAGTTTATTCTCATTAATATTGCCTACACAAATGTTTTCTGGACATAAAGGAAAGTCCGAATGTAAATCATGAAGTTCATCTGGATATTCCAAATCAACTCCTAAAATAAAACCGAAGTCTGATGTCTTAGACACATTAAATTCTGTATTTGGATTTACCCATTCGAATCCACCAGTAGGAAGATATTGAGACATAGCCCAACCATATAAATTGTTGGCATCAAAATATGTGATATATGAATTTGGTTTCCCTGTATCATAATCCTCCATGTATTTGTTATTAGCTCTAGCATAACGATTACTACATTGAGATACACCATCTCTGATACCTGATCTAATAAATGCAATTTTCTCATAATCTGTTAAAAGTTCTAATTCTATTTTTGTATATTTTAACATTGCATCCCAACTTAAACCGGGTGCTGTGTAATAATGGACAGGGTCTAAATCATATGTATTAATACATAACTTTCTAAAGTTTTCAAATACATCGGATAAAAGTAAAACGTCTGTTTTTAAATACAGGTTTGAATAATCTAGCATATTACAACACCCAAAATGTTCCCAAACATCTTTAGCATGATTGTAATCATCATTTGAAATATGTGAATCTGTGAGTGAACTATAAAAACATTTTTGTTCAGGGAGCGATGTTAGACTTAAACTATCATAATTAGTCATAAGTTCATATGGATAAACACCTTTCCGTTTTAAACGAAAGAAATCTTCATCATTAGGGTAATTTCTACGTAATTCTTGAAATTGATCATTACTGAGATTTTTGGCCAATTCTTCTAATTTACACGATAAAAACTTAAATGAATCTAAGAATCTCAATATAATTTCGTGGTTATTCACTTTTAATTTTTTGGAAAAGGATATATATTTTTCTTTATTTTGAGGGATAACTTCGACTTCACCATCACAAAAGTTTAACGCGTGAACAATAAAATGAGCATCATAGTGACTAAGGTTGTGTAAAAATATTGGTATATAACGGTGTTCTGATCTTCGAACAACATGATTCATGAGCAACACCTATAAACCTACCAGTGTACCAATCAAAATCATAAAAATGTTTTGCCAACTCAGTTTCATAAATATGACAAATGGTTGCATTTGAAATTTGGTTTTTGTCTTCATTTGTTAGCGGAAGTGGTGGATATTTTTGAAGTCTATTTATTTCTTTTAGATTGTTAGATAAACTTTCCATAAACACTTATGCACAGTTGGGTCCGCAATATGTTACATATTTTGATAATTTATCATCATATGAACATTTTATATAATATCCAAAACTATGTACTTCATGTTTCTGAATATTACGAGTGAAAGGTTTGGAAGGATCGTTAGAACATGATTCTATTGGTTTTAAAAATGCTTCAAAATCAGCATAAACTACGAATGGTATCTTTAACTTTTTTTCATAACTATCAAATTTAATTTTATCATTTGAAATAGGTTGACCAAACCAATTCTTTTTTTTTAAAGTTTCACTGTTTGGTAATACTGTACAAATGTGGGCACAATCGTATTGTTCATGGTTATTTAACCTTTCCTGAGATGGAAAACGAAGTAGACATGCTTCACAAATGTACATGATGTGACCGTCTTTTGAAATTTGTTTACTAACTAACCGCGATAAATTTTTTATATAGCAATAATGATTTTTTGTATCCTTGGAAAAAAATAATAAATTGATATGTCTATCTTTACGACACTTTGTTAAAAATAATGGACCTACTATAGAATTACATCGTTTTTCTTTATTATATTCTAACCCAAAAACATTAATACTAATATCATTTAATTTCTCTACTTTTGCTATGTCAGAAATTTTAACCGGAAAGGAAATACCATCAAATTTAAGTTTATTTGCATGTTTAACGTACGATGATACCCGATCGGTGTGTTTGTTTACAGGATATAACGCCGAGAGTAACGCCCATTTAAAACAAAAATAATCCTTGTTTTTTACATTTATAACAGCCTTTTTTAATTTTATGTCACGAGGAAGATCTATGTATGAAGTACCGCGTAGGGGGTTAAATTTATTAACATTCATGTCTATAGATTTTATGTTTTTTAGACTCCATCCACTATCTTTTTTTTCGAAAGCACTAATTTTAGTAGTAATTGTATCATTTAAAGATGAAAGAAAAATATTTAAGTCATCTCCTTGACAAATAATATAGTTAAGCGTTTGAAAATCGAACGTATCATGAATATCTTTAGTTTGTTGAACAAAATCAGCATGCAATATGAAGTTTACCTTAAAAATTATGTGTTGATGAATACACTCTTGTAATAAAAATAAAATATCATCTTTAATAGAATTTAAAAATAGTTCAGGAGTTTCAAAATTTACCCATGTCGAACGATCTACTCTACTCTTGATTTTATAAGTTAAAATCCTATTTCCAAAAGCAGATTCAATAACACTAACGTTTGATAAAGAATTATGTGAATTTAAAAGATTATTTTTATGAACATTACTTTTAAAATGATTAGCTAAATACCGTTTCTTGATAAATATATGGCACGTTGGACATTCCACTTGATCATCGTTACTGATACTGTTCCCTGCAGAGGTATGCGCTTCTGCTTCCGTTGTTGGTTTTTTGATGATCTTGGATTCTTTGCTGCACGTTCGCTTCGTTCCTCTTCCAAGTTGTAGTGGTTGACTGCTAAAATGTTTAAATTTATTAAAAACTGTATAAGACAATATGTAAATTATGATCGAAATGAATGTTTATTTTACATACTTAAACTGTGTTTCAACCATCGCACAGTAATGATACAACTCATCATCGTATGACGAATCGAACAGTTGACCCCTCTCCATTTCTTCACAAACTTTAGACAACTCCTGATTTAATTCGCTATTGAATAGTTCCGTATTCTCTTCCATGATTGTGGAGAAAAAAGCACTGGTGCACACTTCACTGAAGTTTTCCCTTCCTCTTTTTTATTTTTGATTCAGCTTCAAAAAAATGATCAATCGATTGCGATTTTCTTTTTCCACGATCTCATGTGTTATTATTAATGACGAGGTTATCACTCTCTTCTTGAGGGGAGAGTGGCGAGTAGTAATACTGTTTATAGGTATCTTCATCGAAGCTCAATGATTTCTGCAACAACACAGTTATCATGTTAATATCAATTTGTTAACACTTAATCATAAAAGTTAAAAAAGTTAAAGTTACAGCCTATTAAAGTCCACTGCTGAACATAGGCCTCCTCTCATTTCTGAGAGGGTTTTAGAGCAAGGAAATGTCCGCCGCGCTCCCTCAATGTGTGTTGGCGAACTTCACATGCCTTCGAAATTTTCTCAGACATGCAGGTTTCCTCACGATGTTTTCCTTCACCACCAAGCACGTGGTAATAAGCACTTAAAATTGCGATTAACAATTTAATTGGTGCTGGTGGGGATCGAACCCGGGTCGCGTACTGTGAAATTTACAGCTAGCGCTAACCATCTGAGTTACCACGGCCTAATTCTTTATACATACACAATATTTAAATAAAATAATACACACACATGAAAATAACAGAAAAAAAGTAATTTAGTCAATAGAATAAACACTTACATCCATAGCCTTTGGTGTATTGAAGTAACACAAATGTACTATTGATAGATCCACTGTAGTCAAACGACCGTACACTAACTCGATGACTGCGTCTGTTGGTCTTATATACCACCAGTACGTAAAAATTCTAATCTAAAGTATTTCCGTAATGAGTTGATAATTACTTTATGCGTCAACCAGTTTATCTCACATTTCCGTTGTCTATCTCAACATTTCTTCGTATTGTGTTTTGTTTGGTGATCAATGACTCAAGTACGATTTGTATAACACAAAAATGCAATTTAATATTTAGAAACATATCAGTTTATCTCACATTTCCGTTGCCTATCTCAACATTTCTTCGTATTGTGTTTTGTTTGGTGATCAATGACTCAAGTACGATTTGTATAACACAAAAATGCAATTTAATATTTAGAAATCACTATAATTGACCATTCCTATGTTATTCATTGAGTAGATTGGTACTGTAATAATCTACTAATAGCAGTAATATCATGGATACACTAGATGTACAACAACATCTGAAAAAGATTCACCCCAGTCTAGAAAATAATGTTTATGCAGCTAATAGACTGCCTATGTATACCCACGTACCAACGTATATAATATGCAATTTGGATACAGATGATAAACCAGGGTCACATTGGGTAGCTTTATATATCGATACGAATGACGTCGGTCAATATTTTGATTCATATGGACGATCACCTGTACGATATCATCTAGAGTTTTTAAAAAGGAATTGTAAAAGATGGAACTGGAATGTTGATAGGATTCAGAATGAGTGGACTTCAGTTTGTGGCGAATATTGCTTAATGTATTTGCTATATAAGTTTCAAGGATGTTCAATACATAGTTTTACGAGTATATTTACAAGGAACACATTGTACAACGATATTTTAGTGGATGAGATGTTTCGCTCCTATTTTATAGATAATAAGTAATAAGATTTTGTATTTTATAAATAAAAATTGTAACAAAATTATGTAATGTGTTTTATTGATGATTCAGATTAGCGTTGTATAATTAGGAACAAAGAAGTACAATACAATAGCACTGATATAGTCGACGCACACGCTGCAATGAAGGTGATTAATGAACAATAGAACAATAGAAATAGGAACAATGGGACGCTAATGACGGTGGAGGCCCTTACCGGATATCAATCAGATATTAGCTAATTGATCTACACATCTCCGGAACCGTGCATTCTACACAAAAATGGACCGCGGATTCGTGATCAGAGCATGCCAAAACCTTTTTTTTTTTTTTAGGATCGTGTGTCGACGAACGTCGTTGAACCACGTCTGACTCAGGTGGTCTAGAAGTGGTACAACTACACTACTCACACTAGACGCGAAGCTGCAATGGAGCCCCCATATATCAAAACTAGCAAGCAGACTTAGTTCTGCAGCATATGCCGTAAAAAAGATTAGAAGTCTAACTAGTGTTGAAACAGCTAGACTAGTTTACTTTAGCTATTTCCATAGCATAATGTCGTATGGTATTTTGCTATGGGGACACGCAGCTGACACTGAAATTATATTTGTTTTACAGAAGAGGGCCATAAGAGCAATTTATGATTTAAAGCCTAAAGTCGCTGCGACAAAAATTTAAGGAAATTAATATATTAACTTTGGCCTCTCAATACATTTATGAAAATGTAATGTACGTACACAAAAATAAAAGTAGTTTTACAAAAATAAGTGGTATTCATTCAGTAAATAGTGGAAGAAGAAATAGTCGAGAAACTGGTACTACTAGCTTGTGTCTGACAAGCTAGTAGTACCAGTTACTCGACTCCATCGAGTCAGTAATTCATTCTTGGGGCGTTGTATACGCTTTTACAACAAAATTCCAGAAAATATACAAAATTTTACCTGCTCAAAGTTCAAAAACTTTATTAAACTAAGTTTGTATAAAAAGGGTTATTATAATATTAATGAATTTATAGATGATAATAACCCCTGGAAATGAGGTGATCGCTACCAAGCTATTTCTAATTTGTTGTATTGTTAATTTGTGTAACATACATGATTGTAAGCTGTTATTTAAAAAAAAAAGTCCCGCTGGGTTTCTTGCTGGTTCTTCCCAGGACAGAGGTTTTTTTTCGAACCAGTGGTAATCATACAAAAGAGTGACTTTAAATAACTATTATTTATAATCTATATTGAATAACAAAGTTTCTGTTTCTGTTTCTATAATAACAGGCTGTTCAATTAGTCCTGCTCTCTCTCTCTTTCTCTCTCTGATTACGTCAGATTTTCACCCATCGGACTATGAGAGTGAGGGAATAGAGTGCACCTGCACCTGTTTGCATACAAATTCAATGCAATATGTGCAGTGTGCACTATAATCACGTCGTAGTGACTGCTCTCCATTGAGACTGACCTACATGATCGGCATTTGGTCTGAAAGACATTATAGTCGGAGAGCTGTCTACGAATTATGGGAGTCCTTTTTACAGGTTGAAATTGTGAAACAATATAGTTTCGTCAATTGGCGAATCCAGTCACGCGAGTTTGGGATAGCGTTTGCGGTTATCCGCAAATTCGTTACTGCGCAACGTAAAACAATGGCAAAGAAAAAAAATAAAAAAATTTTTTTTTGCCTACTTGATTTTTTTATCTTTTAATTTACTTTTTATATAATTCAAAAAAAAATACAGTAGCCGTTTTTGCCGGGTATAATGTATTACCAGACCTCCAAAAATATTTTATTAAAATTCCAAACACGTCTACCACGAGGGTTGAGAAAAAAAGTATTTCAAAAGAACTACGTTTATTAGAACCTTATCTAGAGTGCTCCATCAGAAAATTTTGATAGCCGACTGGCTTATTTTTAACAATAATATGTGGATGATTAATTAATAAATCGAATTGTTAAATAAACTAAGAAGTCTTCTGTTCTATATAGGTATATTATATAGGTATTAGCTTCATAATGGCAAACTTATTCCCCAGTACACCTTACATGAGGATGTACTGTAAAACGATACAATATGACACCGATACGACTTAGGGACCTTCAAAAAAAGAGCCTACTCCTTTTTAAAAGGCCGGCAACGCATCTGCAATTCCCCTGGTGTTACGGTTGTTCATGGGCGGCGTTAGTCACTTACCATCAGGTGAGCCGCATGCTCGTTTGCCCTCTCCTATAAAAAAAAAAACAAAGACTATTCGCCAATTGACGAAATCATAAAATCATAATTTTTCACAAATTCTACTTGCCAAAAGGACCTCCCGAAATTCGTCACCAGCTTTTGGACTATTATCAATTACAGGCTACGGATTATTACCCTTCTTTGTTTGTATATGATCGCAAATGTCTATTGGCTTCAATTCAGACTGAAAGTTCATTTGTCACTTCAATTTAATAAATATTAAAAGCAGTTTTAATAAAAAAGGGATATCAATCTGTAAGCACCAGTTACTCAACTGTAGCTTATGTGAATCTTGACATGTATTACTAAATGAAACAACCAACAAGCTAAAGGTGTACAAAATTCAAAGGAGACGGTCCAAAAATGTATGAAGCGTAGGCCTAGTTTTGTACTAGTATGGAAATAAATTAAAATAAAATATTAAACCACTTTTGATCATGCATATCCACGAATTTGCCTTAATTTCAGTGCAATTAATATTTTATTCTCACCAATAAATGCAACACTAATGGCGGATTGAGGTCGTTTTGATTTGACGGTAGCTGTCAACTCTGAAATATACTCGCGGGTAGAATCTACTAGTTAGTTTGTGATACCCATAGCCTATCAGGTAGATTTATTATATAAAATCGCTAAAATGTCTCGAAACTAGTAGGAAAGTAGGACAAAAAAGTTGTATTTTTTGATCAAAACACGAATAAAGTGTATTATAGATTGTGTGTGTGCTTTTTTGGTCTTAAAAAAACTAACGTTCTTGTTGATATTTGCATATCATAAATGCAGTTCAGGAGAGAACAAATGTAAAAAGTACTACCTAATTCCAGACAAAAAGATTGTTGAGATAAATCAACGGTGCCTACTCACAAAATTATTTAATTGCATTCATTAGTGTGTACTAATTCACTTCACCTCAATTTAATGTCAGATAGCTCAAAGCCGAGATTATATGTTAATGGAGGGTAACTCCGTTTCTCTACCCTAAAATATCCACCCTGAGATACTACTTTATTGCACTAATCTTATAGCATATATTTAACTTATTTTACCTTAGAGTGACTGTTTTAAGGTAGATAAACAGAATAATCCTGAATACTAATTTCTGTTCAGGTTATATGTGTCTATCAGGGCTGCTGAAGTGCTAGGGTACAATCATAGATAATATAATTTATTTGTTATAATACGGTACATTACAGTTTTGTAACTACAAAAAAGAATTGGCATCCTAAATATTCTGCCGTTTCCGGCGTAAAAATATTTTCATATAACAGGTCCTCAGCGTGTCAGAGTATGCCTTGAGCCTTGACAGACATTTGAAGCCTGGATATTGTCATAACGAAGTTTAACAGTCCTATAAATTATAGAAAGTGAAACATAAGGTCAATAATGTTTTCGATACTAAACATAAATAAAACAGCTTAATTTTTTATTTTTTATTTATTTATCCTACTCTAAAATCCTCTCTTACTAAAATGTCATCCAGAATTGAGGCCGGTGCGGTTATAGAATTTTGATATCGAGCCCAACACAAATACCAGACAACGGTCATTATGTGGGCACAGCAACCCACTCTGGGTCTGTTGTCCAGAAGAGCAATTGCAATAATAACCTGCAATCATCTCATCCCAACTTGTCCCTTGTCTCGCCAACAGTATATAATACGTATAATAAGCTCTGCCCGAGTGATGGCGAGATGTTATACGGCCTCTTATTAAAACAGGGTCTTGTTGGGATGATATTATTTGGGTCACAACTTATCTGCTACCCAGTCTTCGTTGACACCAAACATACAATATACTGATAGTATTGGCATTAGGGCGCTGGAGCTCATTTTCAAGATTTGTGCCGACAGATAATTCTTGTAATACGTTTGCAAAACATTGTGGACATGTTGGTGCATTTTCGTCCATCTAGAACAAAACAATCTTATTTTAATAAACTATCTATATTGCAGAAACGCATTTTAAACAGTGCAACATGTTTTTACAGGTGAATTGAAAGATAATTACATCATATTAAGATTTTGCAGCCCTTATGAACTTATTTAGAAATTAATAATTATTAACACACTACAGATAGAAGCATGACATTCAAATGCGTTTAATAGCTTAAGGAAACATCTTTCTTTCGTACATACCTGCTTACTGATTCAAAATGTGATTCTACAGAATACAGATGTCCGATATCAACGAAATCAAAATCTCACGTAAATCATTAAGTCCAAAAACAAAAGCAGAGTCAAACAAGTAGAGAGTAGAGTTCTAAACTACACAACCAAGCTCGAAATAAATAAAAATATCATTTGACAGAAATGACATTTGACAAATAACCGTGTCTTTTTTACTTTTTTATGACTGAAAGGGCACCATCTTGTAAAACCATCAGAAACTTGGGATTGCATTTTTATTTTTTGCAAGTTATTTATTTTGATTTATTCTCTCATTTTATTTTTAACAAAATCCCTGAATTTTTCTCCTTTTTACGGTATATTGTACATAGACTGGGCCAGAACTTTTTAATGTGTTTTTTTTTTAATGTGTCCAAGGAAAAAACTAAATTTTAACCAAATAAACCTTTAACAAATATTATTTTACAGTCTATGTTGAACAAACATTATTCATTTACATTTCATCAACCATCACTACTGTTCGCGCAAAACACTTTCAAGGATTGACGCGAGAGGGCGCTCGGCGCGGTGCATTCATACCGGTTTGACTTTCGGTCGTGCGAAAAACGCCCAAGGGCAGTCAGTCGTCCATAAGCGGTGCTAACGATTGGCACGCTGTATTCTGTTAGGGAACTCGGAATAATTCGGCGCGGCCAGTAAATATACGGTCTATCATTGTGACGCGCATTCCTGCTGGAGAGCTTCCCAGGGACTCATTGTGTTTGACTCAGAATCTGTATAAGTGCATTAGACAATATTAGCTAATGCGGCCTCTGTATTCTAGAACTAACTGTTGCAACGCGAAACGGTAGTGACCTTTAATAAACTGTAAACTCCGTGTGCGTTTTGTGTGTTAACCTTATAACCAGCGATAGTTAGTGGCTTCTGTAAGTTAGTAAATCGTACGATAGAGTTAATTGACTGTCAACGTGACGAAAGAAGAAAGTGACTGTGGACAACCACGAAAGGCCCCCTCAAGTTGGAGCGGTGTCGACGCTCGGGCTGCTGCCGACGGCCAAGGTCTAGGTTCAATCACCATCAGTCACACCCAGATACACACCACATCACCATTCTTTCCCGTGCACTACACAACCACATGCGACCTGACCGACTCCGGAGGGACCAGTCGCCTTGGATAGGTAAGTAAGCTTCATCCAAATTCCTTCCGGTCGACTGGCCGTTGTATAACGCTCCCCCATATATTTTAATGTAATTAGGAATTTCCACGTGGCCACATTGAGGCTCGACCTACGTCTGCTCGGGAAGTCTTCAGCTCATGGGCCCCTGAGGATTGGATCCTTTAAGGGAGCAGCCGTAGGCCGTAACAACTACCATACCATCCTGTGGGTGTTGTAACAAGTGACAAAAAAAAATTTAAATAGGAAATATGCTGGAGCATTTTCCTGATAATTGCTTAAAATAATAACTGCAGTTGGCACCCCTGCCAGGCATGGCAACTATGGCAAATACCTGAAGCAATCTACGCCTATGACTAGCAAAGAACTTTTAGAATGAAATAAATTAATGAATAAATAAATAAATATATTTGTACACCACACTGTGGTAGAATACACAATACCTACTGTAAATTTTACTAACACCTAACTCACTGTATTAACAAATAAATAAATGAATTTGAATTTGAAAATGAACCCTCACTATCAACTTGCCATTTCATGAATAAATACAGAGTGTAACATTGCATTTTTGTACAACATACTACAAGATAGGTCTTAAATAAACTAAATCAGCTTAATGCAATTCAATAAACTTAGATATCACAATTTCTACTTGATATAATATAAAGGCAAAAATCTTTAAAAACATTTTAATTTGCTAACACATACAATCTAATGAGAGGTAGGACCCTCAAAACATTGAAATAACTTGCAATCTGGACTTCAAAAATGACAACTCCATATTGGAATGTGAAAAAATAAGGATTACTTTAATAAGCAACTAATTCATATATAAGTTGTTTTGAAAAATTATCAAACTCAAGATTAGTATAAAATCAGCCTAATTGGCTCTACAACTTAGATTTTGTTTACATAGATAATAAGTTAGTAAAAAATATAAAAGTATATAAAAATATAAATTTATTTTACCTATCTTAAGTTAAACAGTTCATTTAAAAATCATCAAAACTACTGTGCTCCATAACATCTGTAACTTGTGTCGGTTCAATCTCTGTTTGACTCTTAATTGTATTTAACCAGTCATCAGTCGGATTTATTTTTTTCACCTCTGAATCTGAAGAATCACTTTTTATGTCCTCGGGCGATTCGGAACATTCATTTTCATTGTATACACTAGGTTGTAAATTTTTATCAATTTCTACAAGTATAGGTAGAGCATCTAAATTTCTAAATTTCTTTGACACATCTTCGGTATGGACATTAACAAAACATACACAATTTTCTGTTGAAGTTACCTCTTTCAAGGCGGCCTCTTCTATCGCTTCTAAATTGTAAGTATCTTCCTCTTTAGTAACATCTTCAATAGTTTTATATAAATACATATGATCATCATTAGGACTAATATAGTCTTCTAATGTAAAGATATTGCTATCAAAATTAAACTTCTCAAAATCAATAACTCCAAACTTATTTATATTTTCTAACAGCACAGACTCATTGTCATAATTAATATCAATGTTTTGAATGCAGTTCTTTTTTAAGTCATTGTCATCTTGGCATTGTTTACCAATAGCGTCAAGTTGCCTTAGGGTCTTCAGCTCTCTAGCTTTTAAACTAGCGTATATACGAGCGAAAGATTTTCTTACAATAGATCTCAACTGAAAAGTTAACATTAAACAACATTCTTAAAATATGCCAGAAAATCATCTTTATTTATTTTATGAAATACTTACATTTTCGATATTTTTCTCAAAATCATCTAAATCACACGCCATGTTTATTTATTTATTTTATTTATATATATTTTATTTACAGACAAAATAAAAGGGATCTAAGGCCATACAGCCTAATCTGACGAGTGTCTTATCACTAATGCTGATAACACATTTTGCCGATATAACCCATTGGATATTATAACAGAATTGCAAGGCACCGTAGCGAACTTTTGTCTTTTTTAGAAGAAAGAAATTGGATTACGGTCAAACTCCGGCCAAAATTCTTAGCATATTACTTTAATGCTTAAAACTAGATATCTTTAAACATTTTATTCACGGACATCTATTATTATATTACTAGCTTTTATCCACGACTTTGACTACATCTAAGTACTAAAAAAGATAACCTGCAGATCAAAATGGTAAGTCTTTCGTATAGTTAATTCAATTATTGAAAAACAACTTCAAATTCAATATTTTGCCATTTTCTCAAAAACTACGTATGGTATGAGAAAACATTCAAAATAAAAACTTGAAATCAATTAATCTTCTTATTTATTTCATTATCTTTGACGTACATACTAATTTCTAAATTAATTATAAATTAAATACACAATCTTATTTTGTATATTCATGGTTGCTAGTTGATTCAGTTTTATTTATTTAAATAATAGATATAATTTGCATATGATCAATTAATTTAAATTGAACTAATTAGCATTATTTTTGGTTCATTTATAACGCTTCATTATAAATTGCGACCAGCCTCGGACTCAAGTTTTTTGGATAAAATAGGCTAAATCGTTTCTGGCATTGCTCTCCATCTGTTTGTGAAGCTTCATTACAATACTTCGATCAACAATAAAAACTAGATAACGGGTTACGTACAAAATCGTAGTTAAATGCTGTTCCCGTGAATATATACTTATAGAGCTACATTTGATTACTAAAGAACTGAGACAAAAAACTAAAACAGTTTCATGTTCAACCCAATTACAACTATAGCATCTAGTAATAAAGTCACAAATCTTACGATCATTAGTTATAAAAAAGAACAATTCAATGTATTACTCCTGTCACTTGGAAATGAAAAGACATAGAAATAACCTTTAGTGTGAAATCAACCATAAGTAATAACAAATTAAAGTACATTTACCCGTTATTGCCTTGCAAGCTACGTCGTTTTGTTTCATTTCTATTTGCTTCTTCGAATTTAGCTTCAAAAGACATGGAGTCGCGGTGAACACTAAAATAATTTATAATATGATCATATGTTTAGTTAAAATTATTTATATTTCGGTCATTTATGTTTGTTAGTATACATACTTTCCACAATAGCCATTAAATATTATATAGTATGTAGTATAAGGATTGCATTTTATTAGATAATTCATTATATATTTATTTTAGTTTTTTATGTATATTTGTTTGTAGTACATGTATTATATATATATTTATATATAAATATGTGTTGGTGCTTTAAAATCGGTAATTATGTTTTAAATATGATGATAGTTGTTAGTTTAGAGCTTAAAATATAACTTATTCTACACGTACTTACCGAAAGTAAGACACCCCGGCTGTTAAATTGCTTTTTCGGGCATTATTCTTGCAACTTTTAAATATACATTGCGGCATTGTGAAACGTGTCTACATTGGCCATGTTTCAAGGCAACTAAACGAAATAAGTGCTCACGTCTCTAGTGCGCTGTTATTTACTTGGACGTATTTTTTGCGCCGACCTGATATCTAGTTGGTATTGTCGATCGAAGTTACAATAGGTTTAATTTACATACCGAAGATTAGCCCGGACCGACCCGGACAGACTGACAAGGATCATGTTGTAATGACATGCACGTAAAAAAATAATTCCCTCCGCTCAATAGACCCTCATTTCGATATAACAGACAGACACTTTATTTTTATCCATATTTATAGATTATTAATTACTCGTTATCACATTTCTCACAGCCGATTTTTTTTTAAATCCTAAGAGATTAAAGTAATTTTATCTATTATCTAAAAAAATGCTAAAACCATGGAATAATCAAAATATTCCTACACATTATGCGCTATCTAATCTAACGTTAGTTACTAAATCTATGAATCTAATAAACACATAAAAATAGTAAAATATAGGCATATCTAGGCAAATAATATATTATATTTACTACATATCTGGGTTGTTAGCAATTTGAAGAACAAGTTTTTTTACTGTCCGCTGCGCCTACGTCACAGTGACTAAGCGAAGCCGGCCATAGTCAAGCATGTGTCAGCTGTTACTACCCTATGTCAGAGGAGTCACAGACAAGGTTGGCTACATCTTGAAGCGAGCTTCTATTAAAACACACTTCAAGCCGCCGAAGAAGATTAGTCAATTTTAACCATCCGTCAAGTGTAATATCCCTCTGCAAGATGCAGGAGTGTTCAAGATTGTTTGCGAATATGGTCTCTTGTAGTGTTATGCTACTTACATATAATTTTACATTATTTTAAATTCATTTTTCCATTCTGTTTTGATTTTCTGCATTCACCTCAAAACTGGATATTTTGGATCACCTTTATTTCCATAGGATCCTGTAACGATTTTAAACCATAAGAACACAATAACAAATCAATTTTACTTCGTATTTTCACACTATCAGCACTTTTAAATTGGTGTTAATGGAGTCTACCTTTTTCGATCTTTTATTTAATTTTCCGTAACTCTGCAATTTCGAGCTTTGTGCGCGCAGGTGCGCTACCTTTTTTCCTATATCAATAATATCTCATTTTTCACTTAAATCTTGCCCTTTTTCTATTACGAGCCTAAAACCAAAATTTGACATGTTTAGACATCGTTGTTTATCTGGTTGTCATGACAATTATATTCAAATTTGCTACCGGTCTGTTGTTTCTACTTCGATAATTCCACATAAATACTCTTTCCTCTTGGCCATTTACAAAAAATTTGCGTTTAATTTAAATAATTTTTCCGTTCTCTCTAGAAAGGTATAAAAGCCGAACAATCGGTCAAGAAAGTCAGTCTCGCTTCAGTTCTCAAATTCGAAGCATCTCCTAAAGGCCTTATCCCGGGGCCGCACTGCCCCGGGATCCTGCAAGCCTCTGTCCTGCCTGAAGCCACTGGATACTACAAGCCTCTGCTCTGCCTGAAGTCGCCGAATCCTGCACGCCTCTGCTCTGCCTGAAGTCGCCGGATCCTGCAAGCCTCTGTACTGCCTGAAGTAGCCGGATCCTGCAAGCCTCTGTCCCGCCTGAAGTCGCCGGATCCTGCAGGCCTCTGTCCTGCTTGAAGTCGCTGAAGATCTTGCAAGCCCCTGTCTTGCCTGAAGTCGCCGGATCTTGCAAACCTCCGCATTCACCCGAGGTCGTCGCCTAGAGACGCCCACACCTTCACCTACGCTGTGCGTGCTCGTTCCAGACGCTGAGAGCACTTACTGTACACCTTGGATCTTCGGGCTCAACTTCAACACTAATCCTTTTTTTTATTATCTTTTTTTAAAAAAAAAATAATTTGTAAATTACGACATCCATCCTCATCTTCATACTCCATTTTGTTATATAAAATTGTAAATATCTTTTAAATTTTAAATATATTATTTGTTTTTGTTCTATTTTTGTTGTTTTGTTGCTGTTAGGTAAGATTCTTTTGTATTTAATTGTCGCTTCACGACACTCTCATACATAGGACAAACAAAAAGATCTATTAAAACCCGCGTGAAAGAACATATAGCTGACGTGAGGCACCGACGATCTGAGAAGTCTGCAATCTGTGAACATGTTCAAGATCGTTTCAGCCATTACATCAGATTTGATAGACCAAAAATCCTCGCAAAAGAACGCCGATTAGAGAAGATGAATGGGCGCTGCCATCTGTTTTGGGATCCTACACATAACAAATTATATCCAAACCCAACCATACCACTGCAATACTTCAAGATATTGTAAGCCCCACAGAGCAAATACAATTTGTATTTGCTTCGCGGTAAGCTCATTCTGCGTAGATCGAACCAAAAATTGATATTAAAAAACTGAAGGTAGCCGGGCTAACTATGACATTGGGACGTCAAACATCGCAGTTGCTCCCGTGACCATGGGTTGCTGTAAAGTACCCGAAACGCTGGGAATTAAAATAAGTACATTAAAGCGATAAAATCCGTAAAAATAGTTTTATTCAATGTTAAGCTCGTAATGATTTTATTTATGAAAAATGTATGAAATACTAATAATTTATTTATAATACATTAAAATATGCAATATGTATTACCTTAGTAAAAAAAAAAAAAATAACATAATTAAAAAAATCATTATTCCGTATCACTTGTTTCTGAGATATCTTGACCTGAGTTAGATAAATAGTCTGTTCACTTAGATATGGTCGCCCCTGTGTCACGTCGCGCCGCCTCGGCACGTGCCGAACCTTGTCAAAGACGCTGCCGCGACATCAAAGATCGCCGCGTTCGGTACACCCGCAGGAAAATTCGTCATTTTAAAACTAAGCGCCGTAGTAAAAGGTTTTTTGCTACCTTACATGTGTTTATTATTTATAAACGTATTTTATTAAAATAACCATAATAATAAAATAGTGTTCTATTTTATTCTTAGAATAGAAAGGCATTTATTTACCAAACAGTAAAGAATAACAAAATAAAAGCAATATATAAGTGCACCTCCGTTTGTACCCACACTATCTTAATGAACAGACTATATATTCGTCAATTGTGAACCGATTTATTGATTCTTTTGTAATAAATATGTTACTATATAAGCACGATTCCAAGTCATTAAATAAATAATTCGACATTATCTCAGCTATGAATCTGTTGGCATTTGGTAGATTGCGGTTTTACTATTCCGTTTTAATAAAACTTGAAACAAAGAGCAAAGTTAAAAGTGGGAGACTGCGGTTTGCTTACCACTTATTCAGTTACGACAAATCCTCCTTTCAACGGAAAAGTCTCATGCCCACCAAATGAAATTTTCTTCTCTTCTTATTGATAAAATTTGTTGCAAGCACTTGAATATAATTTATTTCATAGACGAAAACTAAATCCTTTTTTTAATTTCTTTTAAAATACTTTGGGTGACGTACGTAGGTCACTTTCCATACAGCAATGTCAAACCGCTGATTATTGAACATTTTACATTCGTTCATTTAACACTGGTTCCCACATTTTTTTTATCAAAATGATTGATACAGATATAGCAACATAGAAATTAAAAAGTCTACTATTGATTGAGTTTTGGCGGGAACTATTCACAATTTATGCTCTATTTTTACAGCTGAATGTTATGCAATCTACTTAACATTATTGTACATAAAAAACATTGCGAATTCACAGTTTCTAATTGTAAATAATTCAAAAAGTGTTATAACAGCTATTGAATGAATCTAACAAAATGGATTACAAAAAAAATTACATTATATATAATATAAGAAACTCAATAAACAATCTTAGTAAAATAAAGAAGGCTGTTACCTTTATTTGGGTCCCTTCACACTCTGGGATAACTGAGAACGAGGAAGCAGACATGGCTACTAGAGACGTATTCTAATTAACATGTTCAGACTACTTGACAATGCTGGAAATACCATTTACAGATATATATGTCATGTTAAGCAAGAACTTGAGATCCTTATGGAAGGCATACTGGGAAGAAATAAGCAAGTCCAAAGGAATTTGGTATTATGAAATACGAAAAAGCCCGCCAGCCACTCCTTGGTACAACAAAAAAGGGATTAACAATAGAAAATTCATTACGACTATAAACAGAATGAGATTTGGACACAGCAGAATAGCCACCCACCTGCATCGTTTGGGAATGAAAGAAAATGCAAATTGTGAATATTGTGGAGACACGAAAGGAGACCTAAAACATCTGGTTTTTCAATGCAGTCAATTTTGTTTAAATAGATTACTCCTCATTAATTCCATTCAAGATATTAACAATGATATAGTTCCTAATACTCTTCAAAGATTATTAGCTGATGAAAAATTCTTCCGACCATTATATTCCTTTATATCTGGTGTCCAAGATATATAAAAATGAGAACAACATGATATTAATCAATAGTGCAAACGTAAACAAACTGTGAATTAATGTGAAAGTGAATTTTTAATGAATGTATCGTAAAGTTAATACATTGTAACCTCAGGCTCAGAAGGGCTAGAATCCAGAGGCGTAAAGCCAGTTAAAAAAATGGCGCGGACTTGACCGGTGGTGGTTTGCGGAGTTTGGCGGGAAATTGACCGGCGGCGGTTTGCTGCTCCTGTATTATTGTTTAAATAATGGTTTGAAGTGGAATTTGATATGTAAAGGTGGTGCGATTTTGTGTATTAAGTGTCTACGCATGTAGACTATTAGTGGAAACAGTGAAACAAGTGCTCTGATGGTGATGGATTCTCAAGATTAGCTGTTTGTTTGCATAGGCGCCTTTAGATACCATCGCCAACTGTCAGCTGTCTGCTGGATCACGTTGCCGTCAAAATCTCCCAAGAACTGCACAATGTGACGCATCAACATATTGTGAAGCAGTGAACTATGAAGGATAATTATACATTTGGGAAATTATAATAAACCGAATAAAAATACTCAAGATTTGGTCTAAAGGTCCTGATACCAGGCCATAAACTCCAAAAAAAAAAGTCTACTATTGATTGGATGGCCTAAAGGTCTAGATACCAGGCCATAAACTCCAAAAAAAAGTCTACTATTGATTTTTCGTTTGACAATTAGCTGTAAAAGGAAAACATAAGACGGTGTTTCTGCTTTCCGTGCTTAAATGAATTAAAATATTACCTTGGTACCTGTTTAGTGCACTGATTGTAAGGTTTAGACTGTCGTAATTTCTTAATTTAAAGGACAATGAGTGAATTAAGACATCGGCGTGGTGAAGGTGATGAGAACGACAAAGCTGAAACCGCCGGTGAATCGGATCAAGTAGATGTAATTGAAATCGTGTTAAATTTTAATGATAAGTTTAAACCTTTATATATCCATAATATTTGTATTTTGTAAAATTAACTTCATAGGTGGATTCGGAAGAGGAAAAAGTTTTAGAGGAGAAATATGTGGATGAACTGGCGAAAAATCTACCTCAGGGTACGGATAAAACTCCAGAAATTTTGGATTCAGCACTGTCAGGATTATCTTCCCGGTGAGTTTTAAGAATAAATAATTTGTATTAGAAATTAAAATTTAATATAAATAAAATAATGTCAGCTTTTTCTCTCATTTAGTAACAAAAAGAAAGAAAGTAGCAGTAAATTGTAATTAACATTCTTATGCTCTTTTTTCACGTTCCATTATTATGAATAAAATCATGTCACTTCTATTATCACAAAAATAATTAAGTTAAAATTAATGTTTTAAAACTATGAACTTTCAAAGTTAGCAGTTCATGAGATATTTTTTATTTAAATTATATTTAATTTGTCAACTTTTTGAATTTTAGTTTTTGGTGATATGAATTTATAGAGTTATTAATTTGGGAATAGTTACCTGAAACATAATTCATTTGTAATGCAGCCAATAAGATGTTGTACAGTGTTTTCAATTTCTTTTTTTTTTATGTTAAGCCATATCTTTGTTGTGGGTTCTAATATCCTAATCAACTGCTGTTGTAAATCATGCCATATGCAAGTTATGCTAATAGCAAGGGAGCAAGGAGTATGTCGCAGTATTGGTCTAAAATATTTGGAGTAGAATAGAACAAAATAATTTTTATTCAATAAAAATTACAAGTAATACTTATTCAAAGTTATTTATGCTTTTACCAACCGATTCATATAAAAACTTCTTTCCTATAAAGAACCAACCATATAGGTATCATAATATTAAGGACCTATGAAGAAGCCATTTTTTATAGAAAACAATTTGTCTGTTTGCTTGATAGTGACTCCACCTGCTGCACATGCACCTGTTGCACCGACTGCAATAATTTTTGTGCCAGATCTTAAGAAGCTTTGGTGAATAATAGTGGTGCACATTCAAGGCTTAGTTTGTCTTAATTTGAATTTTGGACTTTGGGTTTGGCTGCCTCTTCTGGATCTGAAGGTTTCTGAATCATACAGGAATTACTTTTCATCATAATTAGCAATCGTATTCAAAATTACCTCACTTGTGTGCCTATTCAACAAATTAGGATCAGCTTTAATGTGAAATTCTGTTGCCCTTCAGTAAGTTTAAAAATTCACCAGCACTACACATTCAGATATTGCATTCTGTCTCTACAGCAATTGTGCTACAATGGAACTCATATTTGAAAAAATTAAAATCTTTTTTGTTTTTTATGGTTGTAGATTAATTCTATCTAGCCACCAGTATATAAGCCAATGTAATAGTTATTTATTTCATGAATGATCAATGCATTTTTGTCTCCAAATCATTGATATAGATGGAGAAACTGGGTGATCCGTGGTATCTTCACTTGGTTAATGATTGGAGCTTTCTGTTTGCTCATCTATGGAGGTCCATTGGCACTCATGATTACGGTATGCATATTTTTGCTTCCACATAATAACGTAGTATATAATATAAATTTTATGATATACATTTTATGACAGCCATATTTTTATTTACTAGTTCATCAAACAAATTAGGTTAATGGAATGGAGTAGATTAAAGTAATGTAATATTGGATCATGCTGACTTTTCATAAGGTTTGCAGCTGTTTGGCTTTTTCCATTAACAAAATTAATCAACAATGCACTTAAATATAACTGTTAAAATCACAATCAATTTAGTGTTTGTTTTTCTTTGAGAGTGTCACATCAAATAGATAATTGAAATTTGGCATAGTTATAAAATAACCCAAATATAGATATAAAAAAAAATATTTGACAGCTTGCACCTTAACAAAAAATTTAGCAGTGGTTCTCACACTAGACACAGATACCTGTTGTGAGGCATCCTGAGAGCCAAATACACATTAGTGCTCGGCTGACTTTACAAAGTTTTCCCTTTCTTTCAATGAGATATGAGTTTAAAAGTTAAATTAAAGAAGGAGTCTGTTGTGCTGCTTTAGCATAATATATATTTTATACTTGGCTGTAATACATACTTGCCAAACTGCATGTCCTCGAAATGCTTATAGTTTGCAGACAAGTAGAGTTCATCACTATTTTTTCCGTCATCGCAGAGAATGTGGTGATTTATCACATAAAATCACAGTTAAAAATTTCTTTACTATGTTTGCTTTCCTCCCATACAGTGCAACTTTTGGTTGAGCACTGGTTTTTTCCTGAGATTTTCATATCACTAGGTTCTCCCTGTCTCCTCTTCAATTCTGTGTATTATATTATTGATAGCAATTGAGGACAGCAATTTTAAAGAACTTTTTGCAAAAAATTTTTGAAATAATGCATGTAAATAACATAATTCTTACAATATATCTTAAAAACCTAAACCTTATTTGCAGAATAGCAGTTTAGAATAATTGAAGTGTGTTAAAAAATTAAACAAAAAACAACCTTTAGTTGTAAATGCGAATTTTATGTATATCATAGGTTTCAATTTATAATGGGAAACACAATTTATCTACAAGTGTCAGACTATCAATCATCTATGTGAAATACACTCTTAGAAAAATGTCTGTGGACACAAAGATCATTATATTACGTGGAACACTTCTTTGCAATGGATGAAACTAAAAACTTAATTAATATGTTTGTCTAAATTTTTCTTAAAATAGTTTCAATTGAATAAAACAAATCTTATTACTTTTTCTTAATGTTTCAAAAATATCAAGAATGCGCAATTTGCTATGGTTATATTAAGAATATTTATTTCTTTCCCTATCTGTAGGTCCTCTGTGTGCAAGTGAAGTGTTTTGAAGAGATCATCAACATTGGTTATGCGGTGTACCGTGTTCACGGTCTGCCGTGGTTCCGTTCTCTCTCCTGGTACTTCTTGCTCACATCTAACTACTTCTTTTATGGAGAAAACCTCATCGACTACTTTGGAGTTGTAATTAATAGGACGGTAAGTGACTTATACTTGCTTTCAGCTAATTATTTTTTACTCTAGGTGACTTTGTGAAGTTCTCTTGTCCTTCCAATTTTTTTTATTATTCTGACCTACATGTTTTTCTTTTTGTAATATCCTTTAACAACTATAAGGGAAATAATATTCCATCTAAATGGAAGTAATACCTACTACCAATTTCAAACAAAGAAAGCAATAGGAATGTTGTCTACCCTGGGGACGAAAAAGGATGTCCCGTAGCCTGTTGTTACCACTGGTTTTTCTTCATTAGGTGACCAGTAAGTCTTACTTAGAATCAGTGATTAAAGCGCAGAGTGTACTTCTTGAGTGTCATATTATAGACTGGTGTGCTTTCATAGTGTAGTGGTGTAAAGATTAGTAGTGATAGTGCACATAAGTAAGGGAGGGCTAGTGTTCTTCAAAGTAGGTAAGACACATCATTTTTATTTTTTACGCAGATATTTGCTAAATAATTGTTTACATCTTTAATATAATGGATATTCCCCAAAGTCCCCTGATTCTTTTAATTTTTCTTATCCTTAAAATCAAATCATGATAATAACCCTTATAGCATTTCTTTTTGGTGGCACTAAGGAAACCTATGATTTTCATTCACCGATAGTTATATGATTTGTATAAATTAAGGGCAAGTGCCATTTTATGGGTAATATAACACAATCTCACTAAGTAAGGCCCGTTTTCAGCGAGAAATCCGTCTGGGTTTATATTTATTTCTGTCGTCAAGTACCAATGACACAGCCATATTTCAGTTTGAAGGGTAAGGGAGTCAAGAAAAGTTTGTACTTGTCTTGGCTGACAGCGGGCTGTGAGTTTTGTCATCAATCTTCATCTATCCCTACCTTTTCTTGAATTTGATTTCATGTGTCCAAGACCTACAGTAGCCGCATACTACATGGCTAGCATGGGCTGGGGACAAAAATTTATCCCCGTTTGACATAACAAGTAAAAATATATTCCCATCCGTAGCATGGAGCCAAATTAAAGATAAAAATGTATGCTTTTTTGACATTTGAAAGGGACCATTTTATCCTACTTCATTGGACATGGTTTTAAGTTTATATTCCTACAAGAAATCTATCTTAGTCTCAGTTTGTATCCCGTTTTATCTACTGTGGATATTATATCCACCGGTGTGCCCACGCTCGAAGGGTGAATAAACTAAGCGAGGGGATAAACATTTTCTCCTTTCCCCGGGGATAAAATTGTTTTCTGTCCATATTAGAGCTGCAGGAGGTTGTTTGTCACTTTTACTACAAAAAAATTTCTAGGATTTTATCTTTAAACTTATTTTGGATTAATTTTATATCACCAATGTATATATGTATATATATTATATATATTAACAATAATATTATATTACCAATGAATAAAACATTAAAGCGTTGTATTTATTTGATAGTGTATTTATTATTTTGACTTTGAGGTAGACTTCCACAAATATAATATTTATTACTATTTATTATATTGAATACCTCATAAAATATTTTCCTCATACAATTTTCATTTTTCGTGCACAACGTTGTTCATTGTCCTTGAAAGGCCCGAAATTGACAATTATTGAGGAAAAATTAAACATAAACAATATAGGAACTGCAAGTTCTATGCACCAGTTGGTAGTCCTAAATGTATTATAAAAACAGACAATTTATTTTTCAAATAATGTTACATTATGTTACAAGCGAGCAATACAATGAATGAATGGAAAGAGTTCTGGTTTAAATGGTGGTCAAATTTGATAAAATTTGCGGAAATGTGAATCATCAGTTTAGATAGACGTGGTGATTACACTAAATGCTATATTATATTGGTGAAATACCAAATACTTTATGGATTATTGGATTGCAAGTTAGACTTGCAATTAAATTAGATGCGTCCTTTATCAGTGATAACAGACACAATTTATTTGTCTACCTTGTGTGTGAACATGCTCGAAAATATTTAACTCTAAAGCTATTGAAACCTCTTATTTATCAGCTTCTAATCATTCAAATTGAAGTATATTTAATGTATACTGCTGGATATAAACCAATTACACGTACATATACAGAGACGATTTGCCTTAATCTTCACACGTCATGCGGATTGCCGTTCGCAATGCCAGAAGTCTCGCACCTTTCATGCTTATTTTACATCTGGTATACGTGCCATATTATAATAGACTTTAAATCTTATTTTAAAATTTAAATCTTACTTTCTCTCACTCTCTCTCTCTTTATTTTTACTTTTAATGCTAGTGAATACTACCGATAGAGCGCTGTTTCGCGCTGGAGTAAATTTAAATACCTAAGCATCATCATCATCATCAACATCATCATCATTACAGCCCTTCACAAATCTACTGCTGAACATAGGCCTCCCCCAAGGAATGCCACAAAGCACGGTCCTAAGCCACCTGCATCCATCGACTTCCTGAATGTCTTACCAGGTCGGCACTCCATCTAGTGGTGGGTCGCCCTACACTTCGTCTACCAGTACGAGGCTGCAACTCGAGAACCTTTTTCCCCATCGGTTGTCGGTTCTTCGAACTATATGACCGGCCCATTGCCACTTCAGCTTACTAATCCGTTGGGATATGTCGGTTACTCTAGTTCTACTGCGGATATCCTCATTTCTAAATTTATCACGCAGAGAAAATCTGAGCATAGCCCTCTTTATAGCTCGCTGAGCGACCTTGAGCTTCCTCATGCGGCCAGCGGTGAAGGACCACCTCTCAGTTCCATAAGCCATCACTGACAACACGCACTGGTTTTACAGTCGTTTTCAAGTTTTGAGGTATACCTGACGAGAAGATTTGTCATTTTTTTATAGAATTAGGGGGACAAACTAGCACACAGTCCACCTTTCATTGGTAAGCGGATGCTGTATCTAGTGTAGCCCGTGGTCATTCCCGGTCGAGCCCATTGTAGCCCAACCCATTGGTGCTACAACCATAACCTCTATCACGTAAAAAATGTTATACAAATGATACATAAGAGAACCGTATGATACACATTTTGCATCCAATAATTGGATTGATCAGTGTATATTCTTACGGGTGTATTCATAATCATTTTTAAACAGTTCATTAGTTAAAGTGTTTTGTCTCATTCTGATATTTGCGAGATACTTGTTGCTAGAAAGTGACAAAACACTTTTTAACTAATGAACTGTTTAAAAATGATTATGAATACACCCGTTATAATATTATAGACTATATAGCTACCAATCACTACTCTATGATATAGATAGTGAGTGGTAGCTTCCATCTTGTTTTGATAGGTACGTGAATAAATTAAGTTTGATTCTGGATCCTAGCACCAGTCTAATTGTTAAATAAACTTTCACACTTTAAACTTTATTTTAATGTTCGGTATTTTATTTTATTTAATCTATATCGTATATTTTGGGAATAGAATACCACAGTGTGTCATAGAGTCGAGTACAGGTAGAGATACTGATGAACGATGTTTCGCCATATGCATAAATGACTGCAATTGTTAAAGGTAGTCGCCGACCAATGGTATCTAACACTTACAGAGCTAGCGTGTCGCGAGTGTTAATTTTACAGTCGATTGTTCATAGGTATAGGTAGCCTAGGAGGACAAAAAGAAATACAGCAGAATTTTTTTATTCAATATAGATTATAAATAATACTTATTAAAAGTCACTCTTTTGTTTAATTTTCCACTGGTTTAGAAGAAAAGCTCGAGCAATCAATTTACAATCAATATCTACTTATTAAAATATCTTTCATTTGTTCGTAAAGGTGTAAGAAAAGTTTAAAATTGGTTATCTTCACGGATAAAGTCTGTTGATATCTTGTTCTTTGATATGCCAATATCTCATTAATACATAAACGGTTTTTTGGTTCACGTCCACGAAATAAAAGTTATAACAGCGTTTTATTTAAAATCAAACTAAACTGATTTCTGTACGAAAATTGGAATTGAAGTCTATCCCAGCCTTTTTTAAATTAATAAAACGTAACGCTGGAAATGTCTCCTGTATCGTGGAGAAGTATTACATACCTACACAAATTTCACATGAACAAACACTTGTTAGTGCGATTTTTGAACCGGCCGCACAAAGAACCGCAACCAAATGCTATGCTATCGAGCCGTATTGCCGCGGCCTTATGTTGAGCACTGTAACAAAGCTTAAGAAGAACATACAGTAAGGAATTGCGTTTGATGTTCTCGGAAAAGCCGACATAAACAATAAACTGCTAGGGTTGTCAGGACATTTGAATTTGTTTGTTTTTTTGAATACTCTTTAAGTTTTTACCGCACACATAGTAATAAAAATTTGTGTGAAAAAACAACCCTAGCGGACAGTTTCGCTCGGGAAGTGTTCAGCCCGCGTCTTGCCCCGCATCTAGACGCCTTCGATGACCGACTGTTAGTAGTAGTTAGACTGTGAGTGTAGTCTCTCATTATAAGTTAAGAGTTGCGTCAACATATCGTTTGTGAGTTCGCATTCATAATGCAAGGGGGGCATAATAATATACCTAAACGTTGCTAACGCTATTGGAGTAGCGTAGCATACTTCCCATGGGTCTATTACCTTGAACAAAATGTAAACGGACCGAAAGACGGTGACTGGCAAATTATTTCATTCATATAATGTTGAAACGACCTTTGTACCACAAAGTAAAGTATCAATTTAAATAAATAAATAAATAAAATTGAAATGTCTCTTTGTAAAGTCAAAATAACAGCTTTTCTACTAAACGCATATGAAAGTATGTACGGTATTTATAATAAAACACAATTTTTAAAATTTTTGTCTGTCTATCTATCTGTCTCGTATATCTGTATTGGTTGGACCGATTTTGACGGGACTTTCATTGACAGAGATAGCTGATGTTATAAGGAGTAACTTAGGCTACTTTTATATTAGAGAAAAAAAAATTGGGTTCCGCGTAAAAAAATTAAAACCCTAAATTACACGCAGGCGAAGTCGCGGGTAACAGCTAGCTTACAATAATTATGCACCGAAATCCGAGACGTACTATGTTTACTTTTACACAGGTGACACTGACCTGTGTCTGATAAATATATTCATAATGATGATAAACACTAAGATGTATGCAGACTTCGTTTTATTTTCGTTAATAATCTCATCTAAGTAGCTATGACACTTCGCAATATCTTATATAAGTGTTTAAATAATTATGGGTCATTATTCTTAACAATGATCATTACATAGTCATTCTCAAGTAGCAGCCTCGTGCCGGTAGGCGAAGTGTAAGGCTCCCACCCCTCACTAGATGGAGTGGCGACCTGGTAAGACAAGCGGAAAGTCGACGGATGCAGGTGGCTCAGGAGCGTGCTTTGTGGGAGGCCTATGTTTAGCAATGGACTTGTGAAGGGCTGTAATGATGATGATGATCCTTAATAAGGTATTTTGGGATATAATATTTCAGAGCTGAAGACGGATAGGGATATTTAAATTTTACATTCCTGTCAATAAGGATGTGATATATTGCAAATTAGAATTATATTGTTCTATATATAATTCACGTTCTGCTCAAAGAACGTCGACTACGTTCGTATGTATTGATAATCTCTCCCTTTTTGAGATCTGTAATAAATAAGAGCAAGCCATTCTTTTTTTTTCTTTTTTATAGGATAGGGTGGTAAACGAGCACACAGTCCACCTGATGGTAAGTGATTGCTGTGACCCATAGACATCTACATCTATCCTGATATCCTCTATTGAGGACTAAGATGGAATGCCTCTTTTCCAGTAAAAAGGGTCTCCGGTTCTCTACACTCACCATACGAAACACAGCAGTGTTAAGGTGCTATGTTACGCTGGTATTCTGTGAGAGCGTGGTCTTTGATATTGAAAAGGAAAAATAGTTTAATGTTTCGTTTCATTATCCTTCCCTTTTTTTTATCGTGGGGTAATCCTCATGGATACCTTCTGTTGCGGGGGCAACGGAAAGGTTATGCCGGACTCCTACCGGCCAAAACCCCACGGTGGTCTCCATCAGCGTATATGAGGGGTCCCGGTATCTCCGTTCGGAACGCAACCGGGGCCCCTCTCACGCTTTGCTCTATTAAAGCACGTCCCGGGGGCAGTCCTTACTACCCCCAGCACCTTCGCAATGCTATCACGGTGCTCGAGACCACTTTCAAGTCACCGTCCTCCTCAGGTGTTACATCACTAGACACGCTCGGGGCCCCCGCCCCGAGTGCCCGTAACCCTCGAAGCCCCGTTTCTGGTATCACACCATCATCAAAGGGAGGGCCCTGACGAACGCCTTGGCGGCGTCGTCTTCAAGCGGGATCTGTCCTCTCCCGATGCCGCTCAGCAGCCTCCTTCTGGATCATAACGGATTCACAGAAGGTGGCTACGGCTTTCCACGCGGAGTGCCTGCTCAGCATCGCCGACACGACTGCCGGCAGGGAGAGGTTCTGACCGATCCGGCTTACCAGGACCGTCCGCTCCCGTTCCCACGCTGGGCATGTTGCCAGCGTATGGGATGCGGAGTCTTGTTCCTGCCCACCGCAGTGGAAACAGTTCGCCGTCGCTTCCCGTTCAATCTTACACAAATAATCACCGAAGCACCCGTGCCCCGTCATTATCTGTGTAAGTCTGTAGGTGAGTCTTCCTGTTCTTCGATGCATCCAGGCTTCAAAGTGCGGCAAGATTGCTCCAACAACGCGTTTACACGCATAACGCTCTTCAGAGAGGCGAGCGCGCCACGTTTCGAATGCGTTAATTCGTTCCTGCCGCTTTACCCCTTCGAACACCTCATCTGGCTCACTCCCGACGCTCTGGCGGAGGACACGAGTCCGGTCGTACACCCTCGCATTCATGTCCGCCAGTATGTCCAGAGGTGGGAAGCGAGCCAGGAGTGTCGCCGCCTCAAAGAATATTGTGCGGTATCCTCGCACGATCCGTATGGCCATCCTCCGCTGCACCCTGTAGATTTTAGCTCTACAGCGTTGGACGGCCAGCCTTTTCGCCCAAACAGGCGCCCCGTACAAGGCTACGGACCGTATCACTCCTGCATAGAGGCGACGCACTTCTCCCTTGGTCCTCCTAGATAGGGCAGCAGTCTATGCATAGCACCCGCTACCCTTTCAATTCGGGGGACAAGGCACTCGAAGTGTTCTTCGAAGCCCCATCGACTGTCCAGGTGGAGGCATGTACCGCCCCACTTGCACTTCAGACCCACCTACGCGGACGCACGAGTCGGGTGTCCTTCCCTGTCATTCCGCGAACTTGACCTCAGTAGTAGTGTCACAGTCAATTTGAGTTAGTGATAGAGACATCATGAGACTTCACGGCATTTTAAAATTGAGTAACGTTTGAGTATTTGGGCACTTGAGCTTGAGTAGCAATTTTAGCTCATTATGTTCATAAGCATAGTTGAAACCAGATAAGTTGAGGGCGTGGCATCAAGACGAAATTTCATCAACATTGACAATACATGTCAATAAGGTATCTTGTGTTATAATTTACATGACAATCAATGTCAATGAAGTAAATTCTTCTAATGGCAAATATATGATAGGGCTCCTTTAAGCTAACTTCAAAAAGGAGGAGGTTCCCAATTCGATTGTATGTTTTTTTGTATGTATGGCAATGTAGAGTATTATTATTTGTTTAAAGCTGACTGCAGTTTTCGATGGCCTGCAGCGGTACACAGGTGGTGCAGTACACCGTTAGCTCATTTGTCATTTTCCTATTGTAAATACAATGCTACCATTCCCTTCTATTTATGTAGAGCTCTTCGTTAACCTACTTGTGTACTCTACCTTATCGGAATTTTTCCAGACCTCACGAATCAAGGTTACAGCCATAAGTGGATTTTTCCAACTAATCCGATAACCGTAATGACACTAATTTAATTTTAGTCTGACCCAACTTGACATTCATAGTACTTATGTATATTTTAGGTTACGTTGTTATACCTGTGTGTTTTTTTGTTTGTATATATAAACTGTTGAAATAAAATTTAAAATATATAAAATGTTTGTAGATACAGTGAAAAGTACCAGGTGGATTGACTTCCGCAAAACCAGACGTGTCGCACCTTTGACGTTATTGTATTTTTGACCTAAAATTCGTAAATAAAATATTAAAAGTGCTGAGACTGCACCAGCGGACGACAAATTTTTGCTGACAACCAATATGGTTGGAAATTGATTAATGCCAAAATACGGTAGCAAGCTAAAGTTCTCTTTTTAAAACAATTGATACTGTCGAGAGGAATTCAGATTTCCTGATCAGCAGCTTTTTTTATGGAATTAGGGTGACAAACGAGCACACAGTCCACCTGATGGTAAGTGGTTGCTGTGGCCCATAGACATCTACATCTATCCTCGTTTGCAAATTAAAATGCAGATGTGTTGAGGACTAAGATAGAATGCCTCTTTTCCAGTAAAAAAGGTCTCCGGTTCTCTACACTCACCATACGAAACACAGCCCATTAAGCTGCTATTTTACGCTGGTGTTCTGTGAGAGCGTGGTCCTTCCCCGATCGAGCTGATCCATTCGTGGTACAACTATACTATTAATATAGCTGTAGCATGGCATTACGTATGAAGCGTGGCTCTACCACGTATTATATAAGCTTGATTAATATGTAATGAATGTACCATCATGAATTTCGTAAATTAAGGTTTTTTCACCTCAATTACACGTAGTAGTTTTATGTTACATTGGCTTCAGCGCGAATGGGTCGGCTCTATCGGGGAAGGTGTACGCTCTTATGTAATATCAGCGTAAGACAGTGGCATAATGTAGCTGGCTGTATTTTTTTTCGACGCTAGAAATTAATAATTCGTTTATCACTTTTCACTCATTTTTTTTCTCGAAATCTAAATACCTTTCGCATAGTGATTGACAAGAATCGGGAGAATCTTTTAATAACAAGGCATTTCATTTTAGCCCTTAAGGGTTGATTCTTAATTATGCATAATTAAATAAAAGCTATGTGTTTGTAAATATGTCATTTTGAATAGTCGTATGTATATTATTAGATTTATTTGTCTATATTTAGGTTATATTTTGTACTTGATATTAAACTGTCAATTTAATTCATCTGTACTGTATACATAACTTACGCAAAATACCATTATTGAATCTCCATGCGTTTCCCAGGACTACCTTCACTTCTTGGTGACTTACCACCGCTTCATCTCGTTCAGTCTGTACTGCGTGGGCTTCGTGTGGTTCGTGCTGTCGCTGGTGAAGCGCTATTATATGCGCCAATTCAGTCTGTTCGCTTGGACTCATGTGGCATTGCTGATTGTGGTCACCCAGAGCTACCTCATCATTCAGAACATCTTTGAAGGTAAGGATTTCGAGTTTAGCTATCTGTTATAGTTACAACGAATTTGACCAGCCACTATTGTTGTTAGCTTTTAAGTAATCACACATTAGAGCCGTGGTAGCTCAGATCAGAGCTGTAAGCTTCACAGTACTCGAGCAACCCGGGTTCGATCCCCGCCGGCACCAATGAAATTGTTAATTTCAATTTTAAGTGCTGATTTACCACGTGCTCGGCGGTGAAGGAAAACATCGTGAGGAAACCTGCATGTTTGAGAAATAAGAAAAAAAAATATTTTCGAATACATGTGAAGTTCGCCAACACACATTGGGGCAGCGCGGCGGACATTTCCTTGCCCTAAAACCCTGTCAGAAATGAGAGGAGGCCTGTGCCCAGCAGTGGGACGTAAATAGGCTGCAACTTTACTTTACTTTTTACATAGGAAGTAGATTAATACAGTTACCTAATTACAGAGTGGTGTCTTTTTGCATCAATTAGGAGAGGCCAATATGCGAAGGGTTGTAATAATGACGATAATTGTCCTAAGTAATATGTAATACGCAGACTATCAATGTGTGCTGCCTCTATCACTTGTAAGTTAAAGTGACTGTGGCACCAATGAGACTCGACGACATCTTAAAATTGAGTAGTATTTGAGTGTTTGGTCATTAGTTACGTAAGTCATTAGTAAAACGTCTCAATCCAAATGACTAAGGAATTTTTTTACATTACACTGAGATTTGATATATTATGTATATACAATATGTAACAAAAACCCTGTGGTTCCCGTTAAGTACGTTATCAGGATAATTATTCAAACGTATAGAAATAACTTTTTTTTTTAAATATCGAACAATATTTTTTTAAATTTTATTTAAAAAAATTGTATGTGGTTTTACTACCTCTGCATTGTCTAGGGAGTAAGAGGATTGTCAAAGACCCTGCTTTACTTAGCTTTAGCATCGGCTAGTGTCAGTAAGAGGTAATAAAACCACATAAAATTAAAAAAAAAATATATGGTCGAGTTTTTACAAAAAAAAGTTATTTCTATAGGTTTGAATACTGATCCTGATAACGAGGTAACGTGGTAACGGGAACCACAGGGTTTTTGTTACATGTTGTATAGATTTATATCAGACAACTTTACGTATCACTAGAATATTATGTCTTTAATAATAACATAATATGTACTAAAGAGTGTTTATGTTGATGCATTGTTCTACTTATAAACAATGTCAAGCAAACAATGTCCAGCAAAGATATGATCGCACCCTTGTCCGCTGTCGACATTGTCACGGACAGGGAAGCCTTACAAAGCGCCAACTAGGCCAAATAGCGAATAAAATGTCATGCGATAGGTGACAATTAAATTACATATTACACATATCATATTGAGCTGAGGTAATTATTTGCATGCTATTAAAACACTGACCATTGGCAATTTTTAAACTTTTGTATATTGTACCGTCTGTCCATGCTAATCTTCGGAATGGCTGAACCGATTGTAATCAAACTTGTCGAACAAGAGTAATGCCTAGAATGATCTGGGCTACATTTTATCCAAATAATTTAAAATTAAAAATTTTGTACAACCGACTTCAATATTCTTAAGAATTTATCAAAAACTATTGGTCAGACCTTGATCAAATCTATATGGGAGCTTTCAAATAAAAAACGAATCATCGAAATCGGTTCACCCAGTAAAATGTTATTACCTCATAACATTTTACTGGGTGAACCGATTTCATCACACAAAAAAAATATACAGTCGAATTGAGTACCGGCTCCTATTTGAAGTCGGTAGAAAAATAAATAGTTTTTGTTTTGATCGAAAAATGGATAAATTGAATAGTCTTTAGTGATTGTCTTAAATCTAATTAACGATGAACGACACATTGAATCAAATCAAATTCTTCGCAGGCGAAGACGGAGCGGGTCGCTAGTACCTCGTTGGTCTAGTGGACGTAAGTAAGGATGTTGATCATGAGGTCCCGGGTTCGATTCCCGGGTCAGTTTGAAATTAGTTATTGGAGTTTTCTGTTAAGAAATTTTTAGTCGCATCCCGGAAAAAGTATGTTGGCGGTGTTTGACCCCCGCGCCTTGGGAAGCATTAAAGCCGTTGGTCATTCGCCTGAGCTCTCCGGTCGTGTTGGATATTCATTCCATCGGACTAAGAGAGTGATAGGATAGTACACCCGTGATTGTACACACACTGATGCATTATAATCCTGTTACGCACAGATATCTAGTCTCCGTTTAGACTGGCTGCCGATTTAAAAGTTACATTTATTTGCTATTTTTTCATATTTACATTTATGTAAAGTATAACACATACAAAAACATTAGTAGGTAATACATAAACTGGGATATTCCATACCTAATTTTTGTCTTGGTGTTCGAAAAAAACATTTTAACACACAACAACAATATGTAGATTTTTGAATTAATGTAAATCTTTTAAATTGCAGTTATTTTTAACTATATAAGCTTACATTTTATTGATTTACGAATTGACGTTGACTGTATTGTATTTTGAATAAAAAATATTACATAAATTGTTGGCAAATATATATAACAATATACAATTATCTTTATTATCATAATTAACGTCCTAGAGTCGCTACTCCTTTTTAAAAGGCCGGCAACGCATCTGCAATTCCCCTGGTGTTGCAGTTGTTCATGGGCGGCGGTAGTCACTTATGATCAGATGAGCCGCGTGCTCGTTTGCCCCCTCCTATAAAAAAATATAGTTGTAGCACGAATAGGTCGGCTCGACCGGGGAAAGGCCACGTTTTCACAGAAAGACAGCTTAATACTGATGTGTTTCGTATGGTGAGTGTAGAGTGTAGAGACCTTTTTACTGGAAACAAGGCATTCCATCTTAATCCTCATGGGTGACAATGCATCTGCTTTTTGATGGCCCTACACCACGGGCCAGCCAAGGGGTTTTCCTCTATCTTCACCGTTGGTGACGAAGCCGCAGCCACTAAGCTCCCCCGCCACGACAAGGCGGGAACCCGTTCGGGGGTGGGGGTCCTTAATGACCCCACCTTACTTGTAATCTGACGCGCTGTAGTATTTCTGACGATCGAATTTTTTTTACTAATCTGATGGGCCACCCTAGACGCACGGTCATATATAAAGGACTTATGTATGGTAGGAGCTACTCAGCAAGATGCCAGCTATCCTTCCTTATATTCATCTGCCATATTTGGAACGAGTTCTTTTTGTCAAAAGATTATTATGATGGGTCGGAAACACGCTTCGAATTTCCCACGGCGTTTTTATATCGCGTGCTAGCTTAAAATTATTTCTGTCTATTTGTATTATCCATTTTTCTACTCATTACCTAACGCATTTAAGAAAATTTTGGTAAACATTTTCAATGTTAATAAGTTACAAATACGAGGGAGGCCTATGTTCAGCAGTCGACTTTTGATGAGATGTAATGAAATAAATAAATTAATGATGAATAAGGTCTCCTCGATGACGCGTTTTAGGGAGCTAGAAGATATATCTTATAAGCTAGAATTGCATTTTCATTTGTAAAAATTAAAACAGATTCTGCTAAGATGTTAAGAATTAAATTATACGTGGCTCATAACAACAATCTCTATTTCTTAGATTTCAAAAACCGTGGCAATATGGCAAATGGCACAGAATTTTTTTTTGGAGTTGTTAAACAATGGACGGATAAATCATTCATAATTTACTTTGCCTGCATGAGTAACACTGTAGTAAACTTGATTTCAAATACATGTAACGTTGAAAATAAATCTAATGACCTAGTGGTGAAGGAATAGGTGGAAATCCAGTGCGGAACGCAATAAAGTCAGCACCGTGAAATTAATACACGCTAGAACGTTCGAATAACCTTAACACGTTTTTATTATTTCATAATACTTAGATTAACGTAATTATTTTAAAAATTTGTAACTTATATCTTAAATCTGAAAAGCCACCATTAGCCATTGTATAAGGCAATTGTTGAGGAAATCATTTACGATTATAAATTTATTCATTTATTTGGAGCCCGCTTTAAAATCATGCTATAATGATAATGATGTTATATCTATTTAATACAGAAAGTATTAGTCACTCGGATTCATCATCATCATTACAGCACTTTACAAAACACGGTCCCGAGCTACCTTCATGTCTTATGGAGTGACGATCTGTCGTTAGGCGGTCAACTTTTTTCCGCTCACTTTCCCCCATCGTCTGTCAGTTCTTCGAGCTATATGGCCAGTCTATTGCCACTTCAGCTTATTCTTTGGGTTATGATAGTTACTCCACTGCGTACAGGTTCCACTGGGGATATTTTGTTACGTTAGCTATAATAAGTAAGTTATTAGTGATTTTATATGAAATTAAGACTTAACCTCGTGTCATAATATCGTATCATATTATTATTTAAAACCACCAAATATAGATATAATTTAAATATAAATAGATAGGTTGGTTGGTCGGTATGCACAATGGATTTAGGAGAGGGGGGGGGGGGGATTTATCACGCAAAGAAACTCTAAGCATACTCACGCAGGTTATATTATTTGGCCCTTTTCTACCAGAGTGATTAACAATGCCAGTTGTAAATAATTTTATTACGAATATATTTATTGAATAAAACTATTTTTACGGATTTTATCGCGTTTAATTAACTTATTTTATATTCCCGACGTTTCGGTTGCTTTCCAGCAACCGTGGTCACGGGGGACTGAGGTGATTGACGTCCCGATGTCAGAGTTAAACCGGAGTACCTTCGATGGATTTTTTAGGATGTTTTTTTAATTTCAATAGCCTCACGTATCATCCTTGGCAGGAATCGATGTTCTTTCGCGAGAATTTGTGGTTTATCAAATCTAATGTAATGGCGGGGGCCGTCTAGGATATGATCACAAACTGCAGACTTCCCGGGACGTTGGTGCTTCACGTCAGCTATGTGTTCTTTTACGCGGGTTTTTATAGATCGTTTTGTTTGCTCTATATATGAGAGACCACACTCACAATCAAGCTTTTTTTTT